TGTTCATACCGCCCTAGTCACACTTCCATGCATTTGACTTTACACTGCCTTCCTAAACACTTCCTATAAAGAGTTATCTAATGTTTACACTTCCTTTATTGCACATTCTGTTTCATTTTTAAGACTTTATTATCTCCTGCACTGTTAATAGCTTGCTAGACCCTGCAGGAGCCTCCTATATATATTTACATTTTTTTTTTTTTTTTTATATTCTTTATTTTTGGAGTGCAGCGGAAACAAACATTGTTTGACAATGACATATAGTTAAGTTGCATTATAAATGATTACAGGCTTAAAGTATAAACATAGTATGTCAGGAGAAACTGCACACATTTTTTGGTTGAAAATGTAAAACAAGAGTGAATTGCTGCGCCAGCGTTTACATACATGCTTATTATAACTTGTTGAAATGGCCAAGCGTTGTACATCACATTGGTAAGATCTGAGACATAGCTTGCTAAGGACTTGCATTATTACAGGCTATAATAATAGGCTAATGAAGATGTAGTTTAGTACAAGCTGTTATTACCACTGGGAGACCAGGCCCTGCTGCAGAAATGATTGGGGCACTTTCACTAAATAATATAAGATAAAACACTGTAAAGTGGTGTGGCTGACTGAGGCTTAGCAGAGGCTCACTGGTTGAGCTGAGTTAAACTAAGGGCACAACATTTAGTAGGTGTCTAATTTTTAGCTGCATCATTTTATAATAATAGAGACATCAGGCCACAGTTCTATCCTGTCAGGTGGCTGGTAAGAGTAAAAGAGTTAAGGAGTTAAGGACAGAACTGCAGCTTTACAGTGGGAGATAAAATGGTCACCTCGAGGGCCCTTGTGGCCGAGTTCTAGGTCGGTCGGTTGGTGAGGTAAGTTTATCATTGGTGCTGGATCTCGCCTGTGTAGTCCCCATATAGTGCAGGTTTAATTCAGCAGGGCACATAGGCAAAACGTCCAGGTGATTCTCTGCTCCGCCAGTGTCCTCTGTGTGCTTCTCAAGCTGCATGCCGGCTGTCAGGTGTGCTTGCTGCCCGTTCATGTCAGGTTGGGGAAGGTTGTCTGGCATTTCGGTAGGGGTGTGCGGCTCTTTACGTTGGAGACCAGTTCTCCGTCTCGGCTGGAAGGTAGGGTTTTGTCCGTGGAGTGTCTCTTGTCTTTTCCGCGGGGGATATGCTGGCTCGTTGTGCCCCCTTCGCTTCGCCGGCCTCTGGTCTGCTGAGGTGCTACAATGCGTGCAGGTGGCTGTTTGTTGTTGATTTCTGGCCAGTTGGTGCTTAAATCTGTGCTGTCAGGCTTGAGCGTGGGGGAAGAGTATTCCTTTCCTCTGCCGTTAGCGCACATGGCGTCCACCATTTTGGGCGAGGTGCCGAGGTCGCCGCTCTGGGTGGTCTCATTGCTGGGCCTTGATTGTGTTGCAGCGGTCGGTGTCCCAGGGCAAGGACCGGGATCACCCCCCCGGTCCAGAGGGGGGGGAGACAGGGCCAGTTCCACTCTGCTCTGGGCCTTCAGGTCAGGCATTGTTAAGCGGGATAGTGGGGCAGCGGCCGTCCGCCCCGCTCACCGCCGGAGTAGGCCCCATCTGGGACTTCAAAGATTCCTCCTCCAAGGGACTGAAGCTCGAGGAGCCAGCCTCTCCCTGGATCCAGTGCCTCCCTTGGGCCGATGGTCTTTGCTGTTGGTCAGCTTTTAAGTTGAAATTTATAGTTTTAGAGGCTTAAAGTTTAGAAAATTGCAAGAGCTGTGCATTCTTGTGACCGTCCAGCTCGGCGGTCCGGCCCCGCCCCCATATATTTACATTTTTAATGCAAATTAACATTTGATTGTAGAAAGTACTTTTTATTTTGCATTTTTACAGGTATGTTGCATTTTTGCTGAATATTTTGTGCCAACGTGATTAAACCCCCAAATTATGCTCAGCTATATCTTCTAAATACAACAATAATCAATATGTTAGGCTTTGACACTATTTTGTGATATTGCATTGCTATAGGAGATGTATGAATTGTAGCTTATTAAGAATTAATTTTCAGATGGATTTAATGGAGCTATGTCTCATTGTGAAGCATTCCAGCAAGTTGCTTGTACAAACTAGAGCATTTGAGCAGCCAATAATTACAAACTACCCCACAAAGGCCACATCTATTTTTAAATATAAGTAGCTCATCAATTCAAATTATGAACAAGAGCATACATTTTGCTCTAGTCTAGGGACTCGTCTATACAGATGCTTTTTTGGTGGACATACAGGCTTACAGACTTCTGATTTAAGTGTAAAATTAGGACGTGAATTTAATAACTATTTGTCATACTGCAAATTACTTTTTTATAGGCACTCGCTACTATCGCTAACATGCATAAACCGCAGTAATGTTTCATATATGCGTCTTTTCATAGTTTGTGAAAAAATGGAGGTACAGCAGGCAGGATTCCTTGTCCAATACAGGCGATTAATAAGATTATTTATTATCCCCATTAACATTGTGAGTGCCCAGAATTGTTTAGGGACTCTGGTGGGGTCCCATTCTGCTTTACTGGCAGTAAATGACGCAGGGTTCTGGGCAAGATACTGCTCATCACAGAGATTGGTTTGCGCCACAATCTTCCCTTAAAAATCACCCCCCAGGGCTAACTGCTTGATCTCCACTGGCCATAGCTGGACACGTCATCCTGTATACCTGGAGTTGCTGTAAAGATAGGGTTGTCCCAGATAAAATCATTGGGGGGTCACCTGTGTCACTCTCTGAGTGTCCTGCTCACCCGCGTTCTAGGAGTCTCTTCCACTCCTGAACTCCGCTCCAGCGGTTCCCACACCTCCTTTTATTACACGGCCGGTGCTCGCCAACGTCGTGAAGCCGATAACGTCATGATACCGCGCAAGTGCCGACGTCATACCGATGATGATGTCATGACCCGCCAAAATGTTAGAACACGAACATTTTGGGGGCGTGACTTTAAATTTATAGTACCAGCCTATAAAAGGCTAATTCAAACTTAGATCCTTGCCTTGTTGTAGTCCTAGTTTAGTTCCCAATAGCGTGTTTTGTTCCGATTGTTTCATTTTGTATCTGACCTCGGCTTGTTCACTACTCTCCATTCTCTTGTCCTTAACTCGGCCTTTGTAACTTGTTTATTCCGCTTTTTTGGTTCCCTGACTCGGCTTGTCTCTCGTTACTGTACCTTCTTGATTCCTTGATCTTGTATTGTCTTGACTATTCTCACCCTATTACGTTAGTCCGGCCATTCTAAGGTCCAGTATACGTACTCTTTACACCTTGCGTGTTGACACTGAGGAATTATCTGTCGCCTCTGAATCAGCTGCAATAATTGCATTAGCCTCCTCATCAGTAAACCTTCTTAACATTTTCAGACTGACCTTTAACTACAACTAAACAACCTTATAACTTGTTATTTGCTTTGTTAAAACCTTTTTTGCTTTATTTTTAACTTTTCCTCTACTCACCCCAGCTAACTAAATCAGCAATTTAAAATGAATACGATGGAAAAATAAATAAATTTAACCCTAAGGGTAAAAAAAGAGGGTAAAGTACTGTGATCTGTATTCTAATCACCGCAAACAGTGAAATAAGGGCAGGTAAAGGGTTACATTTGGGTTTAGACTGATAAAAGGAGTTTACATTTTTTTTGATAAAGTACCTCTCCAAACCGTCTCCTCCTACTTCACAATGAGGTGGAGGGAGGTAGATCAGATATCCCAGCAGCACTATGATCACTGTGACTGGCTGTCATAATGATCACATGTGCTGGACAGCGCCATTTGCTGCTGCTGATCTGCCTTGGACATTAGGGAACCCACCAATAGCTAGGCATTGTGTCTGGCATTAATTTTAGTACATGACAGAATTTTACATGACAGAATTATTCCGACATGGGTCCTCTTGGCACGGACAGCCATGATGGAATAATCCCGTCATTGGTCGTCAATGGGTTAAATGTAGGAATCCACACCGCTGTACTTACCGCCATCATGGAACTTGCCACTTTATTGGCTCCCTGTCTATCCATATTATAAGCTCTGCACGTTGCCCCTGGCAGACAGTGTAGCGATAACATAGAATGAAGAGGAGAAACAATGTTTCATTCTCTCCTTCAATGCATTGTGTTCCCTTGCTGTGCCAGGATTGAACTGGATTTAGATGGTATGTGCTAAATCTTTAATATAAATTATAAAAAGGAACATTTCAAGAAAAAAAAAAGAATAACACAAGTTATAGGTGATTTTCAGTGTTTTATTCCATTATGTTATTTTCTACAGTCCCCTTTAAACAGTTATATGTGATTCCTTCTCCAGAAGTAAGGAAATATTGAGCTGAGCCTTCTAGATGCATCCAAATGATCCCTGTGGTATCTGTCGGAGGTATTTACATCTTAATTAATATTAATTCCCATGATGCTGGAAGCCGAAGAGGCGAAGGCTACAAATATGAAGGTCAAGAGAGCTTCATGCATAGTTGCACCCTCTCCGGCTAACACTGTACTGCCGCATCCCACAATCCCTTGCATACCCAACGTTAGGAAATGGAAGCCGCGAATATCTGGGGAAGGGGTTATCAGCAACTGGAATTTTCAGAAAGTTGTTTTTGAGGACAACGTGATCTTCCACAGAGTTTTCCTTGAAATCTATGCATTTTACAAATGCCATGTTTGCATTTTATCTCTTCCTAGATCTGGCCGTTATTCACACGTGATTCACATATATTCACATGATTATTTCAGGAGAACACTTTGTTTTTGTTTGTTTTAAGAATGTGAAGGCGCACTTATTTTGTTGGATAAAACCATGTATCATTCTGAGCTTTGACTTGTCGTGGTATCGGGCTCCCCTTCCCATGAAGAGGACGGTAAATAGTCGCGCAGTCAAAGCACATCATCCCATCTGCCATAATTTCCCAAGATCTCGTCTGTGCCCATCTTAATTGCTTCAGCACATGACTTCACTGCCTCTCACATTCCCAAAGTTGTTCCCGTGGAAACGAGTGTGAGCAGGTGGCCACGATTTGATAACCGTGGATTGAAAGAACGAGACACAATGCCTAGCAGAGTGATATTTGTCAGTATTTATGGACAGTGCAGCCCCCTTTTAGAAATCTCAGAGGGATTCACTGATATTTAGACACTGTACACACCATATCCCAATGCACACTTTAATTTCAGCAATAATTAGGCTGACAAGTTGACACTCTTGTCGTCACCGATATTCTCCCCTCTATAAAATATTACATTCCGTTATATGACTATAGAGTCTCAACTGGTTTCTAGATTTTTTTTTTTTACTTGACAATTAATCATAGATAGATGATAGACAGACATATAGATAGATAGATAGATAGATAGATAGATAGATAGATAGCTATTGGATAGATAGATAGATAGATAGATAGATAGATATTGGATTAATAGATAGATATTGGATTAATAGATAGATTGAGAGATATTAGATAGATTTATAGATAGATAGATAGATGGAGAGATATTAGATAGGTAGATATATAGATAGATGAAGATATTGTTAGATAGATAGATCGATAGATAGTTAAATATATTGATATATATTTAGTTGATAGGTAGATAGATAAATATTGGATGGATAGATATTTAGTTAGATAGATAGAGATATATTTAGTAGATAGATAGGTAGATATATAGATGGAGAGATATTAGATATGTAGATATATAGATAGATGGAGAGATATTAGATAGGCAGATATATAGATAGATGGAGATATTAGATAGCTAGGTAGATCTCTAGATAGATGGAGAGATATTCAATAGATAGATGGATAGATAGATAGAGATATATTTAGTTAATCGAGAGATAGATAGATAGACAGACAGATAGATAGATGGAGATATATTTAGTTAATAGAGAGATAGATAGATAGATAGACAGACAGACAGACAGACAGATAGATAGATGGAGATATATTTAGTTGATAGATAGATAGACAGATATAGATAGATAGATAGATATTGGATGGATATATATTTAGATAGATAGATGAGAGATACATACGTTGATAGGTAGATATATAGATAGACGGAGAGATATTAGATAGATAGCTAGATATATAGATAGATAGATGGAGATATATTAGATATATAGATAGTTAGAGATATATTAGATAAAGATATGTTAGATAAATAGATATATGATAGATCGATAGATATATATCTATAGATATAGGATGGATAGATATTTAGTTAGATAGATATATAGATAGATAGATGATAGATCGATATTGGATGGATAGATAGATACATTTATTTTTACATACTGATTCAATATCATTACTATTGCACATCTAAGAGGTCTCTTTGTACGTTTTGCTAAATAAATGTTTTGCTTTTTCACTAAACTCATCTATATTGCTGCCTACTATTTTTGGATGCTATTTATTAATTCATGAGATTAATTAGTGCTTTAGCAGGCATTTACCCTTTCATGAACAGCAACATGGCTGAACTGCAATGATAAGAAGATATTTACTTAACCCTGGGGTTAAGGGGTTAAATATTCTGAAAAAATGGCTAATCAGTCTTCTTCCAGGAATATATCACCACTGATTATTTATGTGCGGATATTTGTTGTGTGCCTAGAAATATATGACATTTCACTTTTTCAGCTTCCGCTGGTGTACGAGGTTCATGTTGTAATGGATCTGTGAAAATCGCGCACAAGGCCAGCAATGTAGCTGTTAGCTGGTGAAAGGCCTAATCTCGCAGACTATTAAAATGTGACTTAATCCGGGAAACCACTGTGTGATCTGAGATTTCTTGCAGCTAATCCATGGTTAAAAGACTTTATTTTCAGGCCAGGCCTGGACGTTAAATAATGATTTGCTAATTGTTATATCAATCCTTGGTCCTTGATCCCAAAGACTCTAATGACTTGTAACTACCCCCCTGTGGCCTGGTTGTCCTGGCAACCAGCAGAGGTTGGTCGTTTCCCACCCTGCCGTGGGGTGACCAGAATTTCTTTTTAAAATGCTTGTAGAAGGCGTGACCCAGGAGACAGAGGTCAGAGCCGCAAGAAGGTACAGGTCAAGTGATTCTTTCCCATACAAAAGGCCCAGAGTAGTCCCCTGTGGGGGGGCTTGTGCCCAATTAACTCTGGTCAATCCAAACAGGCTACAGCTCATGAACTGGTGTCTTTATGGAGTTCCCGGGGTGAGCGTATGAGAAGACTAAGGACTTGCCCTGCCGTGTCAGGATTCGTAATGTAGAATATAGAGCAGTGGAGAGATTATCAGGATTGCCCCCCTCTCCCTCGCCAAAAAAATTACCCATTTATAGTTGTTAACGATTATCCAAATACCATAAGGGATTTTCTAGAAAATCTTGGAATGGAGTTTGATCCAAAAGAATACATAGAACGTGCACCATTTCTAGTTATTTTTGTGACACGCTCAGAGGTAGACACGGCCTCATGCTGAGTCTGTGTACATCATTTCTACGGGTTGACAATCTCGGAGGAAAGTGAGACAAGTATGCAACGATGATTTAATCACGCTAATCTGTTCTGGTTTCTAGATTTGTTGTTTTGTTTTCATTTTAATGTCCATTATCCATATCATTTTAGTTTGGATGAATTATTAAAAAAAATGGAAAAGGAAAGAGAATTCTGAAAATATTTGAAAGTTTGTAACAGATTTTTAGTCCATATAAACAATACTGGAAACATTCTTCATATCAGCTTTTCTTTCCTGGGCTAACATTCTGAATGCTCTTTTCAGTTATCTATAATTACTAGTCTAGTGTTAAAAGCCATTGCAAATGCAAACTAAAAAACACCACACACTTGTTTTTAGGGGAGTTTTATTATATGGGATTGGGCTGTTATAAGAAATTTTGGTGACTTACTAATAATTTATGGAACATAATGTAATTTAGAACAATAACAATGTATCTTATTTACACAGGCTGATTTCTAAACACATTTATTGTAGTTTAAAGACACATTACTCAGAGTATTATCGCTGTGGAGCTCTGTTATACACTCACACATTACTGGGAGTATTATTGCTGGGGAGCTCTGTTATACACTCAGCCACATTACTGGGAGTATTATTGCTGTGGAGCTCTGTTATACACTCAGCCACATTACTGGGAGTATTATTGCTGTGGAGCTCTGTTATACACTCAGCCACATTACTGGGAGTATTATTGCTGTGGAGCTCTGTTATACACTCAGACACATTACTGGGAGTATTATTGCTGTGGAGCTCTGTTATACACTCAGACACATTACTGGGAGTATTATTGCTGTGGAGCTCTGTTATACACTCAGACACATTACTGGGAGTATTAGTGTTGTGGGGCTCTGTTATACACTCAGACACATTACTGGGAGTATTATTGCTGTGGAGCTCTGTTATACACTCAGACACATTGGGAGTATTATTGCTGTGGAGCTCTGATATACACTCACACATTACTGGGAGTATTATCGCTGTGGAGCTCTGTTATACACTCAGACACATTACTGGGAGTATTATTGCTGTGGAGCTCTGTTATACACTCAGACACATTACTGGGAGTATTATTGCTGTGGAGCTCTGTTATACACTCAGACACATTACTGGGAGTATTATTGCTGTGGAGCTCTGTTAAACACTCAGACACATTACTGGGAGTATTATTGCTGTGGAGCTCTGTTATACACTCAGACACATTACTGGGAGTATTATTGCTGTGGAGCTCTGTTATACACTCGGACACATTACTGAGAGTATTATTGCTGGTGAGCTCTGTTATACACTCAGACACATTACTGGGAGTATTAATGCTGTGGAGCTCTGTTATACACTCAGACACATTACTGGGAGTATTATTGCTGTGGGGCTCTGTTATACGCTCAGACACATTACTGGGAGTATTATTGCTGTGCAGCTCTGTTATACACTCAGACACATTACTGGGAGTATTATTGCTGTGGGGCTCTGTTATACGCTCAGACACATTACTGGGAGTATTATTGCTGTGGAGCTCTGTTATACACTCAGACACATTACTGGGAGTATTATTGCTGTGCAGCTCTGTTATACACTCAGACACATTACTGGGAGTGTTATTGCTGGGGAGCTCTGTTATACACTCAGACACATTACTGGGAGTATTATTGCTGTAGCTCTCTGTTAAACACTTAAACACACCAACAAGAGGGGCATTAGGATAGAGAGGAGGGGACAGAAGGATTTGGACCGAAAGTAGGAACTGTCTTTGACACTTTGCAGGTATGAAGCTGTTAAGTTCACAGCCTGGAGTTACGTCATTGGAGGGATGGAGCTAATTCATCTTTGGTATGTTTATTTGAGGTTTATATTTTGAAGTACAGGTTTAAAACACAACTCCAAGCGATTTTCCAGAATTGCCAGCACGGCACCTGATAAAATTAGTTCAGTGACCCATTCATCACACATGATAAAATTAATTATGTAAAACATCCTCTTTAGACTCTCGCTAGTGTCAAAGGGGTCTGCATTGTCCAGGGAAGGCACAATAGTAATTTTTTGTGGGCAGTTGTTTGGCACCTGACAGAGCGGACCCAATAAACTGGCATAGTAGTGACCCAACAATGGGGCTTAACCAAGAGATTAATACTCACACATCTATGGCACTACTGTTGCTGTTGTTCTGTTTATTACAAAATATAAAAAGTCCATAGAGGTAGGGACACTTTTGGTTTAGAAGTTAGAGAGGTACAACTATTTCAATACATTTTTTGATGACTTTATATCTCTCACTATAATTTAAAAATTAATCTAAAACAAAACTAACACACACACACTTATTTACAGGATTAAACATCTTACTCTCAGTGTTATGCTGCAGAGCTCTGTGATACAGTTAAATAAACTGATTTACTGGGTTAAACACCGTGCCAAATAGTGCTCTCTGGATGGTCTGACCTGTGTGACTGGCATTCATGCCAGGCTGATCTGCCAGTTTTTCAGGGGGACCCTAACCCAATTGGGGTGGGTCTGCCCCTTTTAGCCCACCGACAGGCGTCCCGATTCATGGGAAGCCAATTTTGGCTGTGTAGCTAGGCAATACAGTTAAACAAGCTAATTTACGGGGTTCAACACCTTACTATCAGTAGAAATGCTGTGGAGCTCTGTGATACATTAAAGCACATTAAAATGCTGAACTCTTTGACAAGAGGGGCGCTAGGACAGAATTGAGGGGTGTCAAAGAACATTCC